GAAATTTCGAGTGGTTTACGGCACCTCTTCAGCCTGTGTAAAGTTATGCAAAGGTTTACGTAAATTTTAGCTTGATGAATCGCACCTAAAACGGCCTCGGTTATAGCTGTGTTGATGAATCGCAACTAAGCAACGTCGATTGCGTACACAAGATTTACGAAAAATATTTTGCATACGCGCATTGATGAATCTACCCCCCAGCACGCTGAACACAGCAGACCAGCATGCTTACCGTGACGGTGGGGCAGAAAGTGTGCGCTTTGAAGACTATGTAATCCCCGACCTCGTACAAGCGCCCAAACTGTTCCTGCTGCCTGTAGATGTAATCATCTTCGCTATTTAGCACCTGGAATCGGATTGAAATACAGGAAATGCACATCCCCACGTTCTTGCAAACATGCGTGAAAAAAAGCACAAAAAATCACACTGAACAAGCGCAATTCCTCCTACCGAAATCAGGACGTCAGAGCATGGACCAGAAAGTGCTTGCAAACCACTGTCATCTTCATCATCAAATGAGCCATGATGCTGCAATACATGAAGCGAGAAAGAGAATAGAACATTCTTATCAACAATGGCACACAGTTTCATCCCACCTACAATATGGTAAAATCTATTACTCAAAATGATTTAAACAACAATAGCATAACTTATATGTTTAAATATATGCTATTTGTGCACCACCAGGTAGGATTCTCCACTTAAGGGACTCTTAAAGGTTTTTATTGAATGCTTAAGTTACAGGCAACAACGAACTCTATGCTATTTTTGTCGTAGCATACACTCAGGGATTTTACCAGTACATCTAATATAACGTCTTTCGAAGAAGGTATATCGACCAATCAACTATGCCTGACGTTCTTGCTGGGTAACTATCCATGCAATGAGCCAGTTCCTGGCTATTCACAACTGGTGTTAATAACATGCTAGTCAGCTGCTAACACTGCATTGGCTGTACATTTTCCTAAGGCAGATCTGCAAACCATAGTATTAGTATTCTTCACCTAGCTTGCAATTTTTCCTAGCAATGTTTCAATGACAGGGTGAGACCGACAATCGGCCAAAGTGAGGCCAATTATAGTCATCATATGAAAAAACCTACAGTCACGTTGATTTTATATTTCTTCCTCTTATGATTTACTGTCAATATGTTTATGAGTTATTTTCAAACGTATGGTCTCATCATATTACTACTGCCTAATTGCCCTATCAGCATGTAGTACCTCTTTGTGCCGGAGGTCCATAGCAGTCACTTTGATCATGTATTTCCTTCTCTTATGGTGCGTCTTCCACATGTGTATTGGATTGTTTTTGAAATCTAGTCTCACCTCTGTGAGACCGGTAAGCCACCCTGGTCCGACTTGATAATTACCACCTGAAATCATAAGCCCTGTTCCATTAGCAGCTGCCATAGAACAACATCGTATACAACTAAATTGCCAACAAATAGTGTATCTAACAATTTATATTAAACAGGGTTGGTTTCCTATAATGCTCATAGTAATTAGGTTTGTGAGTTACATGTCCCTACGTTTCTCCTACTGCTTAGAGGCATGCAGAATGGGGGATTGCCCAAATTGGAAAACTGTCAAAACATATTTGGAGACATCACTAGGCGACAGCGTGTGTTGAGCAATATTGCACAAGAAAATGCCATTCACAAGCACAGGAATTCGAACAGTCGAGGAATTACGAGAATGATTGGGAACATATTCGAAATATCGACTTTATGAGAATGATTAAAGTGATAATTATAGGGTGTCATGCAAAACATTAAAGTGATAATTATTAGGGTGTCATGCAAAACAAAAAAGTGTTATACTTACCATAGTTACCAAATTCCTCGAGTACTGCTGCACCAGCTGTGAAAAGGAAAAGGATTTTTCCAACATAACAATGTCTGAAACAATTTTATCAATCTAGAACTGTAAGTTTCTGAATTATTTTAACATTTAAATTAAGTAAAATTGTATCAAACAAACTTGATTACAGCATATAGCCAATCAATGATTACATTGATTTTATGTTGAAATATTACACTTCATAAATTAACAAAATTTTACTTAACACAAGCGGATTTAATTGTACTATTTATAGAAACCGCGATGTCTTAAAATCGTTGCCCCCGATTTTCCATCTATTCATTCCGTAAACTAACACAATACTGCATAGCAGCATTGCAGGTCACTCTTGAGGATATACTCAAGGTGTAATGCAAAATTTCATTAAATTTCCATATTCAATGGCAAAAACCAGGTGCCACCTATGTGCGTGCTTATTTCTCTATGTAAAAATTATTTGAGTGTTTGCACTGATCACATACACGTGCAATGAGCCGTGGCCAGTTAAACACACATTTACTGATGACATCAAAGACATGATCCTCCCAGCCTGTTCATCGGTATTCATTATGCCAGAATCTATCAGCCTCAACCCCCCTACAGCCGTTAACTGCCAGTGATAGTTGAAATTGCCACGCGGTCTATAATAACTGTCATACCTTGATACCACGGCCCGAGTTTGTTGACATGTGGCTTAGTGACATCATGCAGTACACAGTGTTCACGCGTTTCACATCAAATTGCGAGTGGCAGCCTCGTAATTTCTCACAATTTCTCAAAATACACAGAATATTTCACCAATTTTAGTGGCTTCCATTAATCATGAATATGTCATAGTAAGCACTAACAGTAGATGTTTCACATACGTTTACCTATTTCGCACAGAGGCGGTCGATCACTGTGAAAAGTAAAATGTTTCTGTTTCGATTTCTGCCACAGTAGCTGATGTATCAATGGATATTTGTCTGTCATTACAACTCGGCATCATTTAATTTTACACTCGTTTTACTTTTAATGGTAACACATTGCTTTAATAATGCTCGTCAGGGTTTGATATTAAGTGCCGTATTTTATGAGATATGGTTCTTTAAATGCGTAAGTGTTCAATCCGCCCAAACAACTTAAATTTTAGGGTTTTATTTTTAGGTAAATATGAAATTTTAAATAAAATCCTGACGTACATTTTTTGGTGCATACTGTGCTTAACTTTTGATAAAAGTTTTCCTTTTACACTATTTGTGGTAATTGAAAAATATATAAAATGCCATTTTTACAAAAAATTAAAAAACTGTTAATTGTCACATAATTAGGTGCTAAAAATTTCAGGGAATTTTTAGGCTTGAGCATATAGTACATCTCATCATAAATAAAATGTGACACTGATTCGCTGATTCATTGGTCAATAAACATTTTACTCTTTATCAGAGCAATACCCGTGCAAAACTTTGAGTGTATCCTTAAAAAGATTCAAATAAATAGAATTTATTTTTGAATCAATAACAATTCTTCACAATTATACACCTGACGTGGCCAGCTAAAAAACGTATTCGTACCTCAAAAGGCCGACTGAGGGATCATTGATCCCACAGCTACTCAACCCAAACCAAAGTCATTTCATGACATGCACACTGCCAACATTTATACTGCCCATCATCCTGTACTGCTGTAAATAGCTGGGAGCCAAAGCACTCGTTATAAATAATCAAGAGCAGATAAAGAAGGTAATAACCTTCTTTATCTGCTCTTGAAATAATGTATAGCTGACAGCCGGTTTAAGCTGGTTATGTTGACCAGCACTTGTAGGTATAGAGAGTACTTAGAGAGAAAACTAGGACAGCGACTGTATTGCCTACAGATATAGACACGCTAAAGTGCATCAGTCAATTACTGGCAATTTACCAGCATTTGCAGAAGGTTTATATACACGAGACAACATCCGAAAGGGGTGCATGAAAGCAACTATAAGATCAAGATAATGTTAAAAAACACATGAACTATTTAGAGCTGCACTATGCATGCTACAATAAATTTGCCACCATCAATGATCAGCACCACTAACACTAAGCTCCATAGGAAGCCCACACTTATCCTCACTACTAAAGCACATAGGTTATCCAGTCTAACCTAATACAGTGAATACTCGAAAATTTGTTCATATTCAATTTTCTAGAAATTCATTCTAGTGTAAACGCGCACCAGTACCAGGCCAGGCCAACATCTGCCAGCTAAAGGCTAAATCTAGAAGTGAAAGCCACAAGGGAAAATGAGTGCCAGTGCGAATACATCTCAAGACATCCTTCCACTCAATGACCTCTCGTTGGCAAAATAAAAGCTGGTTATATTCATGAATCCAAGAATTTCCTTTCAGTGCACTGGTTGAATACATATGCATGCCTCACTCCCTTATGCATCTGGCTAGCACTAGATTAATATAAAAGTTTACTTCACTTATGCAATCATCTTACGATTTAAGAAGGACTCTTGGATAATTGAAAACAGGTAATTTTGAACATTTCTAATATGGAAGGTCCCCTCATCAGTCTGAGATAAGACCACACATAATTGTGCTAAGGGGAAGTGACTACCATGGTGCTCTACCTCTCATCCTCTCTCTCATTCTTACCCTTTGGACAGATAGTGCGTGGGCGCACAAATGTTTCCCATTTCTTCACGACAACTACATGATCACCACTCTCATTGCTCTCATCCGGTGGCAAGTCCACGAACACAGCTACCATGTAGCGATACTCGATGATAGCGCCCTCTACTAGCGACACCACGCAGGTCCATGACTCCCTGTAAGGGATAAGGCAGTAATATCAAGCCAACTATACACATCAGTTATGCATTATATATGGTCTGCATGCAACAACCAGCAAAATAAAAATACAAAAAATGCACATACGGATGAAACACGTACGCTCGACCCAATCCCAAACGAGGGTGCAGGTTATAACTACCTCTGCATCTTGACTTGGTGAGAGCATCTAGAACTACAGACTAGTAAGCGATGGTTGTAGCAATTGGCTTCAGAATTATTTTTTTTACAAGAACGAATAACCATGCATTACGAAACAGAATGTGGAATACTCACGTTATTGACCATGCCTTAAGACGTGCACTATGCCAACTACAACAGTTAGATTTACGCGCTATAAAGATGCATAAAAGTATGGCTAAAAAGCAAGATGGTGAGAAACCAGCAGCTGAATAGATTCTGTGACACAGCATCAACTGGTTTCAATCCCGATATTCCAACAAGGCCACTACTTACACGTGTTTTTGTGAAAAGTGCCCACAAATAACACGACTGCTTTGCTTTATTAAAGGCAAGCATAAAGCATTTGAAAGAATGCTTTCTCTGTACAGGAACTTGGAAGGCTTGCGGGTCCCTCCCACAACAGTGATAGATGGTAGTACGTGAAAAAACTACAATTGGTGTACACATACAAAGTAGTGTGTAAATAGCAAATGGAGTTTGTTTAGGCTTTTGTAGACCATTTACATCTGTGCTAATCAGGTAATATGTGTACTCTCTAGGCAAATTATAAGGTAGATTTACTATCTCATTAATAGATTAATGAAAGCACATTACAAATCATATTTTTGTGTGTCAGTGTATCACATATTTTATGTATATTTCTTAGGTTCCCTCCACTCACTATGTATATAGATAGCTTTGCCAGTGTGAGCTCTATAGCGGCTGAGACTCAGATAGCTAGGTGCTATTTTATCTTGATCCTGCTGACACAGACTAATGCAATGTGATTTCAAAATGCAGGATCGTCATGCGATTACCCGACGTTCAGTGTGTTTACAAACATGCAAGCCCAGGTCAGTTTTCTATAACCATAAACTTTGTTGTGAAGAATGGCCTTATATCATTAGCACAACAATATGGACTCCCAATCACAAGCTGTTTCATGATCATTAACCAGCAACAAAGTACACAGCCATACATTTAGCACCGACTGCATTCATCTGCATCATGCACTTCATCATTAAGCTGGCCCAATCTGAAAAATGTGGGACTTATTATTTCCCCTGTATGAGCAATGCACGCAGGCACGCACACTAGTAGACTTGTACAACGATTAGAATATGTTGCCCTCTTTTTTCACAATTTGCTGTGCTACCATGATTACATCACGTGATTATATCACGTTCTTGCCAGCATGTTGCCTACATATTACAAATGTTACACTAAACGTTTGGAAATTCACATTTTTATCAGCCCTCAGTTCTGGTGATGGCTGCATAGATTACCACAACTGTCTCTGAAACAATACGACTATTAGTTCGACTATTACCACGATCGAACCCATGTATACTAGTAGTCTAGTAGACACATGTTCACGCTATTAGCTAGTGATTTATAGCCGAGTACCCATCGAGGAATAAGTGACTTCAGCTTATTTCTCAGTCTACAAGATTCTACCAAATGAGATTAGTTACAAGTACGTATAAGTAGCACTGTAGTGAAACTACGGCTTACCATAAGTGTGACAGTAAATAAATATTTCGGTTGTCATACACATGGACACATGACATGGCAATAACCACACTTGCTCATTTCTGTTATTTGAAACAAAAGTAGGTCAAATTCGAAGCATACCTTCCATGGGATTCAATGTCATCATCTTCCAGCTGTCCGGTTGATATGGACATTTAGTATAAAAACAGAGTGGTTCGCAAACAATAAAACATGAGGAAATGACTGCTCCATTGACCAGAACACATTCGCAACACATTACAGTGCAGCCGACCTAGGGCTACACTGTCTGAGAGACTTCCTCTGCACAAGGTGCTGGAAAGAAGACTCAGTACATGCTGTCGCATGTCTAGATTCCTCGTGCATGTGCCATTGATTTGGAGACCTGCCATCATGTGAAATAATATTTAGAGTTGTCTTTCGCTGCACAGTAGTAGCACGCAGGTTTGAGAACGGTCGCACCATACCTAGTAAATAAAAAAAGAAACAAATCGAATATTATTGTATCGGTTTCTCAATATGTATCTGGGTACTTGTTCCTGTGGAAAAATGCAGCGGAATAGCGAGACACGTGTCTCCTGCTGAATTCTGTACTTCCTGAACATGTATACGTACACATCCTCTGCTAACATTCAAGATTTTAGTGTCTGTTTATTCCTTGTCAACATTCTCATGTAGCCTTTCCAGAAAACATGTGCAATGAATAGCTTGTCACATTTTGTCCTGGCTATCTATGCAAATACTATGACAATAATTGTAATGATCAGCATTACCAGGTCATCTTGCATGCACAATCAACTTGATTGGTTGTGTCTCTGCATCGTCTATACTCTATAGCAACGACTCCAGCATGTTCATTATTCAAGGCATTTTACTACAGTACAGACCATTATCCATTATTCATTTAGCCATTATCTACACTCAAGAAGATAGCCATCCTTGCTAGGCTCAACTAACTTTTGGTTAGCATTTTGCTTTAGCATTTGATTCTAATCTGCAAGGTACATCTGGTCTCTCTATATATGCATTATTGCTAATGATATTTAGAGCACCGTTTAGCATTCATAACAGCTGCCTCCATTAAATTTTATATTTTCCTAAATGACTGCATATGCAAAGATTATGAAATGTTTCTGACATGTTCAGTATTGTGTAATCAGGTTTGCATTTCATTTTCTCTATTTGGCCATCATTGTCTATGGACAAGGGCAAATGCAAAGGCACATAAAATAAGAAAACTAGACACCTAAATATAGAATTCACATACCGTTGCACTCCCTCCTGTTTCTGTAACTGCACTGCAAGCTGTGGTTTCCAATTGCCCAGCTCTGCGCAGCCTCCAACGATGCAAACTACCTCGAGCGGGTTTGTATCCACGGTGACATTGATCGCTACATCCACCATGTTCATGATTGTGGTGTTGTAATCCGACCCAATATCGATGCTACAAAGATGCTGCTCCTTGTGCATAGCACATTTTCAACTGCTTGCGGGCTGTTGCTTTCCTTTTCATTGCTACCCGCTCTACTCAACGACCCTCAAAGTTTTAATATTCCACTGCCTGTAAGGAAATAAATGATGAGTAAATACGGGTGTGATTTTGCAATGTGTTCACCAATTACAGACAAAAAAAAAGAAGACCAATTGCAGTTTATTAGATCATGCATTCATTCTTCTGATATTTCTTGGGCTATATATATATATATATGTCTTTATATCAATTGGCCCTCTTTTAGGGCGTTTTCTCATTTAACAAGTACATTTGAGGTGAATATTTATTATAGTTTAGACTCTTCATAGTCCCATCATGAAAGGGTCACAATAGGTTGGCAGCAGCAGTTAACTATCAATATTTCAGTCTCTCATCCCCTACGGGGTTACATTCCTGGAAAAACTGTGGCCAGAAAATATACTGACTCAACTTTATTGGTAAAGATAAGGTTAGGGAAATAAAACAGTAGTGACAAGACATTTTTAGTTCATTGAATACACATAAATAGGCATTAACACTGAGAACACATAATTGGTAAATTTTGCATATATATATATATATATATATATGCTGGTGTACTACCAGCAACCCTCCGAAATATAGTAGCGAAGCTGTTTTCACTGGTCTGACAAGGTCTGCTCATTATTCCTCAATCACCAACCTTGCTACTGATGCAGTACTTTTGTAGTACGGTGTTTTAACTTTGAGATAGAGACATGGGAAATTTGACACATTAATCAGGCAAATGTTCAGGGACGGCCGGCGATGGACCCAGAAGACATTCGCTACATGTATACTTAAGAGCACACATAATTCAGCGTGGACAGAATGCATTTCAAAATGGTACAAATACATTAACTTCAGCAAGAACGCATCGCGGTTTATCAAACGGCCATCATTAAGCGGGCAACGTACACGGAGCTCGCCGCTCCTACCTGGTACCGTCGTACGTTGGTCGCGACCGGTCGTTGTACCCATGACCCGCGCCACAAATTAGTGGAAGTCTAAACAGGTCGGACGACGATGCAGACGGTTTAAAAGAGAGGGGTTTTGGTGACAACGAGAGGGACGTGGGCAACATCTGACCGATACGTGTACGCTGTATTCCTCCGGACTTGTAATAAAACCGTACTTGCCAGCGCTTACACATCTGTTACGTCTACTGTCTACGTTCGAGACATATTCAACTCTACACTTTCTCCACATGGTATGTTTTGTTTAATTAATGCATTCAGCAGTTTTTCTGCTAAAAGAACTTATTTTCTTAGCCTTTTCACAAGTTTTCCGTAATTACTTCTGTACTCAGTTTTCACGCAGGGTTACGATCAAAGGGCAATTGTATCAAAGGTACATGAATTGAAAAGAAGAACGAATCAACGACCTGCTCGAAGATTCAACATAATTTGCAGGCCTTTGTTTACTGATCATAGTGATGATTTATTGCATGAAACTCAATAAAGGTGTATACAAAACCACTGGCAGTTGTAACAAATCAGTAAAAATAAAAATAATATATAATAAATCTTATTGCACCACTAATAACTCTCTTATAAAAATAATGTATAATAAATCTTATTGCACCACTAATAACTGTCTTATCTGCGGTAAACAACTCATCACTGCAAAAGAAAAGCCTAAAGGGGGGCTTATGTCGGGCCTGCGAGCCGACTCGACTGGAAGCAACTGGCTGCAATTCACTGCGACTGCAGTGCTTAGGTCGGTCGACTGCGACGCGACTGCCTGTGACTGGCCGCCAGTAGTTGCCCGGAATTGAACAGTGGGCAACTGGACGCAACTAGTCGCTGCCGATCGCTTCCAGTTGCTCGAAATCCAGTTGCTTCCAGTCGAGTCGGCTCGCAAGCCCGACATAAGCCCCCCTTAACGTCGGCGCGAATGCAGACTCTCTGCACCAAGCTGCGTACTCACCATACATGATCAATCCCTTATCATATATATCATATTATACCCTAGCTATATATACCCCTTAAATATTCTATTATATTCTATATCATATTCATCTATTTATATCTGATATCATCTCTATATCATATTCTATCTATTATACCCTATCATATTCCCATATCACCGCTATAATACATATATATATATATATAGAGAGAGAGAGATTATATGTATGGCGAGTACGCAGCTTAGTGCACAGAGTCAGCATTTGCGCCAGAAGTTGTTTCCCGCAGATAGGAGAATTATTAGTGGTTCAATAAAATATATGGGTTTACACTGCCAACTTTGAGTTGACGAATTGCCAAATTGTACCAGCATTGCAACTTCGCACCTGACAATCGGCAGTGTAAACGCAAAAGTTGTGCGTCCAACCGATCGATAGCAACTAGTTGGGAGATTAGAACATGTTCTAATTTTGCCAACTCAGAGTTGGCGAGTTGGACGTTTTTTTGCCAAGTCGCCAATCAGAGAACAGCAACCAAGGGTGTGTCCCTCCACCCAGAGAGAGACCATTTGCGCGCGCGTTTCTGCGGCACATGCCTGAGTGTGGGAAATGGTATTTGAGGTACTTTTGAGTACATGTATGTACAGCCTTCATTCTGACTATGAACTGTCTGACATGACTATGTACATGGGGGCATTGTTTAAATTAGCTCGGGTTCATCATTTAATATCATATGTAGGAGTGACCACCGCGGGGATGAGAGCGACAGCAACTCTTTCTTGGAATTGTGAAAAAAGCTGCAAAAGGGACATATCAGTGCCAGAGATTTCTTATCACAGCGCGGAAATTTAGAATATATAAACAGATGTAGCAACATTACTGCGTGTTGATTTTGACTGACTTTTTGACATACTCGAAGAATATAAACATATCAATGATATATATTTAAGTGTGACTGGGTTATTTTGAGGTTTAAAAGCTCGACACATATATCCTTTAACAAAAAAGGCATTACCCAATGAGCCTTTGTCAAGTTATGACAGACTATACCTCTACCTATCACATGAAGTGGTCAGTAAGTCCTAAATTTTCCATTTATCTTATCTTATGTCATGTCATGTCATCAGGAGTAAGATAATATATCTATATCCTATATCTATATCTATATCTATATCTATATCTATATCTATATCTATATCTATATCTATATCTATATCCTATATTATCTTACTCCTGATGTCATGTCATGTCATGTCATGTCATGTCACTTGATAGCTTCATAGCCTAGCCACATGGCTGTTCCAGCCAACACTTGCCACCCAAACTCGAAGTCACCCTATAAATTTCAAGTTCACCCCACCCCAGCGACACAACTTCTTCGCAACTAGAGTACTGGACAATTGGAACACGCTAAAGACTGAGACAGTCTGTAGCACCACACTGAATGCTTTTAAGGGACGGCTTACCATGAACTGGCAAACCATACCGTGCCTGTACCAGTACCATTTTTCCTACTGACTACCACCTCGCACAGGCACGCCAGTGATTATTACAGACATACACTTACACGAAACAGGAACACGAACAGTTCCCCCAGCCTTATACGGTCTCAACACCTTCACCGGTAAATATTTACCGATCATAAGATAACTCATAAGATAACATATTCCTCACATAGGTGCTAGAGTTCAATTGTGTACCACTACAGTACAGGATAATCCAACTACAGTTTAATTTATGGTTTTAAAAATATTATGTAATCTCAGTCCAGACAGAAGGAGTCGCGTTAACATCTGAAGTCCACAGTTTGAATACCAGGAAAGGTGAGATATCAATATACAAACCAAGGGTGGGAAGCAGTGGGAAAAACTCTTTCATTACCTTCGCCAAGGGGTTGGCAGGAGGTTGTTTTCACCAGCGTGTGTTTGTTCGGCGTGTGTTTGTTGGTTTGTGGGTTTGTTTGTGTACAGCCTAACTGGAAAAGTTATGGACGGATTGTCATAAAATGTTCAGGATATGTCAGAAATGGGCTAACTTAGAATTGATGAGATTTTGGTGGTGATCTGGATCCAATTAATTAATTAATTAAATTTTTAGGATAGGTCAGAAATGAGGTAACTTAGAATTGATTACATTTTGGTGGTGATCCGGATCCAATTAATTAACTAATTAGTTAATTAATAAAATTTTCAGGATAGGTCAGAAATGGGGTAACTTAGAATTGATGACATTTTCGTGGTGATCCGGATCCAATTAATTAATAAAAATTTTCACAGTGAGAGAATTGAGCTGCCTTGGCCTGGGGGGTTGTTGCTTCTTGCTGCCAGTGGGACCACAATGTAAATAAGCGTGCTACCGGTACTCATACTTTTTGTTGTGTATATATCCATCGTAGTTATCTAATTTCATAAAAAAAATTTTTGTAACAATATCACCATTGTAAATATGGATAATTAGGGGCCTACTGAAATAAATAAATAAAAATAAAATAAATAAAAATAGCCTAATTTAGTATGTCTATGTCTACTTAGATATTAAGGTCGAACTTAATTTATTTTTAAATGTCAAGCACTGTTTTGGCATCTACAAATACAACAAGTGCCGCAGAGCGACAGCGCTCAACTGACGTATACTGTAGCCGGGTATTCTTCTGATAAACTCGCTGGCAATCAAATCAAGTGCGCCTTCCCGCCACCGTGTTCGCGCTCAGAGCATATATCTAGGATACTACTAATACAGATCTAAAATCGATGACAGCTAGGCTTACTGGTATATACTGGTAGTACAGTAATAAAGATACAGCTGTGTAACTTTAATGACTTCGCCATATTAACATGTTATCATGGATATGCGTCGAGCGCGAGCGTAGTCACTAGTGGTGGTAGTGGGGGGGAGAGTGCGGGGGAGGGGGCAGGTGGAGTGGGCTCTAATAGCAAAAGCAGTTGCCATGAGATGGCGCGTGCAAGTGTCATCAATAATCAAAGATGGCATCACCCTTCGTGCGTGATAACCTCACTCCATTGAGTTGCTGAAATCCAAGTATATTCAGGCCCACGTTTCGCTCAGCTGTGAGTTAACTGTAAACACATCTGCATTGCAGGTTGCCAGGCAATAATTATGATTAGAAGAGTGCCAGTTCACCCCCATGGGTGCGTAATGGGCT